TCGTAGTAGAGGCGCGCACGTAGCCTGTACACGTACGTACAACGGCCAGGGTGCAAGAAAGAAAATACGGCCACGTATGTGTACATACGGGCGGGGTCTCGAATGCCTAGTCGTGCATACGTACGGCGAGGGCTCGTGTTCATGGGGTGGCAACGAAATGCGTCATGTTTGATAAGCACATTTCATATATACAATTTTGGCATAGAAATACATTATTTATTGAGATATGACCATCAATTCTTGCTGTGAAATATTGAATATTTGCATGAAAATCATATAAAGTATCATTTACTAGTCTTTGGTCTATTTTGCAGAAATATGCGCAAAGGCACTATAAATCTTCAAGATCCGGACTAAGTGGCTAAGAGAACGAAGAAGAGGAGGAAGAATGGACCCGACCGTGAAGAAAAGAAGTAACCAGAGGGGCCAAGCTAAAGTTGGAGGGATCATCTTGTGAAGAAAGAATAGAAGTGGAAGGGCAAAAGAGCAAAAGTGGCAGATCAGAGGAGGGGGATCAAATCCCTAGCGCAGCCTCGATCCCCTTCGGGCCCGGCATATCTCTCTCTCCCTCTCCCATCCTTCTCCAACTCCGGCCGCTGCCACAGCCAGGCCGGCGTGGTGGTGCGCCTTCGCCTCCCATCCATCCACCAGCGCCACCATCTTCTTCTCCTTCCCCGAATCCACCATCATCCATCCACACCGCCGTCACCAGCGCCAACATCTCCAGCCACCAGCACCACAGCGCCTCCCCACACCTCACGCAATCCACCAGACAGATGGCCGGAGGCGTCTGATGCCCCACGCGATTCTCCTCCCCAAATCTGAACTGCTGCTGCTCCTCCACCTTTCTTCTTCCCCCAAATTCTGCTGCTGCTCTCTTTCTAACCTCCCCACGCCTCTGTTCTTCTTGCCCAAACCTTGTTGCTGCTCTTCTTCTACTGCGCCCCCTTGCTGATCTCTCACGCTGCTGCTCATTCCCTCATCACGCTGTTGTTTTCTTCTTCTCCTGTCGCTGCTCTCTTCTTCCCTTGCCTCTAGTTGCTGCTCCTAATCTTTTCTGAACCCCAGCCTGCTGCTCTTTCTTCTCCCTACCTCGCTGCTGCTCTGCCCTCTTCTCTGAACCTCTCCTCTTCCTCCCAACGCCCCCTGCTGCTTCTTCCTCATTGCCTGCTGCTGCTCCTCCCCCTGCCTCGCTTCTTCCTCCTTGCCTGCTGCTCCTGCCTTATCTCTCTCTCTCTCTCTCTAAATTTCTGTAGTATTGCGAGATGTTTAAGACTTTGTAAGGTTCAGATTCGTAGAGTACTTAAAACCTGTTGTTTGCTCAGTTTCGTACTTGTTTTCTAGAATGTATGTGTTCAGTTTCAGACTTGTGTTTGTAGTGTTACATGGTGATCTGTGAGCTTAACCGTGGCATGTGTCACTCAGTTTGTATGCTTGATAATTAGCTATATATATCCCCAGTCCATTTCTTGCTTAAGAACCTTGTTACATTGTGTAGTATTTGTGTTAGCAGTACGTGTGATATATATATATATATATATATATATATATATATATATATATATATATATATATATATATATGACGGTCTATTCTGCTAATATTAGCACAATAACTATTCTGCACACCACTTCTGCACTGCACGCTCAACGCAAGTGCACGTCATTCTTTGAACCAAGTGTGCTGCAGTACTCACACGAGTGAACTTCTCGTCGGAAAAAACTGCGCGCGTTATTCTTTCGGTACTGTTTTCGCTCTACTTTTTTAACCATTTACCGTAATGAGGCGTGTAATATACCGTTGAAAAGCTATGGATTAGGCGCAACTTCGACATGTTGAACACTTTTCGAGATTCCACACGGTTTAAGAGCAGTTTTGAAATTGGCGCGTCCCATGACGAGTGGCAGCAAGCGTTTTTTGCCGATTTCTTCTAAACCACTCGTCGGAATGAAGCAAACGATATGCCGTTGTATAGATATCGTCGAGGCACATCTTTTTCATATATAAATGCTTCTCTAATTCCTTACGGTTTAAGAGCAGTTTCAAATTTACTAAATCGCGGAAATCTGTTTTTGAAATGTTCGGTACTGTTTTTGCTCCAGTTTTCTAACCGTTTGTCTAAACGAGACGTATGATACGCCGTTGGAAAGCTACAGACAAGGAGCAACTTTCATATGTTGAAATGGTTTTGAGATTCCTTACGGTTTTAAGTTAATTTTGAAAATCGTGCGGCTGACTTCGGGAGGCAGCGGCTGTTTTTTCGTGAAATTTTTACGAACGGCTGGTCGGAATAATTCAAATCATACGCCGTTGGAAAGATATCGATGATACACAACTCTTTCATGTAGAACACTCTCTATAATTCTTTACGGTTTAAGAGGAATTTCGAATTTACCGAAATGCGGACACTGTTTTTCGCGACACCCAAATCGACGTGGGTACTTCATCCGACCGAAAACCGCACTGCAACAGACAAAAAACCGCACTGTATCACATGGGTAAGAGAACTGCATGGTTTCTTTTATTCAAACATGATTTTTTTTTCAAGAACAAGAAAGTAGAGTGCACTTCACATCGGGTGTAAATGAACCACAACAGTACCAAAAAGTGAACCGCATTACTTTTTTTCGCTTTCCTAACAATTTTTTTGCACTTACGGGATGAACAACATCATACGACCGACCGCGCTGCTTCTGAATGAAAACCGCAGTGCATCGGATGGGCAAGCGAAGTACATGGTTTCTTCTGTATTTTTTTAACTTTTTCTATGGACAAGTAGACCGCAGAGACGAGGGCACGTGAACCGCAACAATATCGAAAGTGAACCGCATTACTTCTTTTGCCGGTTTTTCTAACATATTTTTTTGAATATGTAACACTGAGACAAGGCAAGCGGACTACATCAATATTTTCAGTATTTTTTTCTGCACAAGGAATCAAAGTGCACTGCATAAAATATATTTTTTTCTTTTTACAACAACAAAGTGTACTGCATCAATGTTTTTCTACAGAGTGAGCCACAAACGTTTGTTACATTGAACTGCACTATTTTCCTTTAATAATATACGGGGAGCTGATCATATACAGAATGCCACCGGCCACAAAACAAGTGTGCTGCATAAGCAAAGTGTTCTTTTTCACTGGACAAAACAAAACAGAGTGAACCCCATTGTTTTGCAATATGGGAATCAAGAGCAACACTTGCAGGCAATATGCTCATATACACTGCAGCAAGATGGGCTTCTATAGGTTCAGTGGACAAGTATGGGGGATGGGGAGCTGCATGCCCGTGTCCTCTCCACTGCTTGCCCCGGAGCCAAAGAACTACATGAAGAGGCGTTTTATACTGCATCAACAACAACCATAATCCCCCGTCTATCAATTATGCCATGCCCTGTAAAGCAAATCGCACTGCTGTCAGTTGAGAACCCACAAATTGCATCGCTGGAGTACACACCCACGAGCTGAACCACGGGGGATGCACGCCATGCACTGCAGTGGTGAACCTGAGCTGATCCTCCATGCTAAACATGAACAACAACCAAAAAATATTTCAGAGAATATGGGAAGAAGAAGAATAGGGAGTAGCAGTGCTACAAATCAAAAGAACTAAATCCATCCGCCCACATTCATCGCCCTGGAACGCCAAGCAACAGGGGGCGGAGGTTGAAAGTCGCTGCCGCCGGCCGTTGGGGAGCTCCGACTTGTGAGCAACCGCCCAAGAGCCGCGGACTGCACACACGTGTGCGCCGCACTACACAGATGCGGCCGCAAACCGCATGGACGGGCGGTGGCCAGGTGGTGGCCGGGGTGGAGGGAGGGCCGCGACGGATGGTGGCCGGGGTGGAGGGCGGGCCGCGCCGGGTGGTGGCTCACCTCTGGTGTTGCTCTGGCCGTTCAGCACGGCGGCGTGGAGAGCAGCGCCCCGGCCGGGAAGGAAGAAGGAGAGGGGCGCGGCCGGATCAGGTGCTGGTCGGCATGGAGAGGGGCGCGGTGGCCGCATCAGGTGTCGGTCAGCAGGGATAGGGGCACGGCGGCCGGATCCGGATATGGTCAGATCCGCGAGGCCGCAGGACGGTGCCTGATTGGCAGGGTGGACGGCGGCTCGGCGGCGGTAGGTGGCAGGGGGGAGCAGGCGGGGCCGGCTGGTGGGAGGACGAGGCGGGGTGGGGCCGGCTGGTGGGAGAAGGAGGCGGGGCGGCGCCGGCCGGTGGGAGAAGGAGGCAGGTGGTGGTCGGGTGGGGTATCGGGGAGGGAAGTTTGTGGAGGAGTGGGGTTCGAGAGGGGAGTGGTGGGCAGCCGGTGGATTTTTCTATTCGTTAGGTTAGCGCGTGTTGGGGTGGCTACTGGGTAGGGGTGTTAGCAGAATAAGAAAATGGTGTGCAGAATAAGACTCTTAAGGGTGTTATCATAATAGACCCACCCTATATATATATACACACACACACATTTGTGCGTGTCTTTGATGTGATGCATTTTATGTTTTGTCCTACATACTTGTTTCTTCCCTCTGTTAAATGTAAAATACTTATATATATATATATGTCCATGTCTTTTCAATTCCCTAGCCGTTGATGTATGCTTGTGTTAGCATTTTAATTTTCAACTAAAATAAAAACACAAAAAAATATACATTGAGTAAAATCTGAATCTACCTTTGCTTATCTGCATTTTCTTTGGCGACGACCCTGTTTAGTTTAATTTAACTTTTTTTGCATTCATCATCTAAATTCTGTTAGTATAGTTGTCGTCGCCTAGTCCCTGAGGAGAGCACGACACTCGTAGTTTGGGCGTAAAAACCCCGCTACACTTACAACTGATCATTTTGGCGCTGTTGCCGGGGACTAGCGTTGAGCGATTGTGCTAGGCTATAGACTAGGTTTTTCTTGTTTTCATCTTGTGCCATATATTTGTGATATATCTCTACCCACTAATCCCTGTTCTAGTTAGTATCTTTTTGTCTTCTTTTCCTTTTTGCAGGTTGGATTATCCTCTTGGAAATGGTATTCTATTCAGATCATCATGCTTATGCGAGCAACACTACAAACAACACGGAAAGTATTCAAGAACTGATAGGTAAGATTTCCCATCGATTAGATGATTTAGCTCGGCAGCGAGAAGTAGTTTTAGAGGATAGGTCTAGTTCTTACTATCCTTATTCTAAAGGCCATCCTTATGTTGCTCCTACTTGCCATATTTGTGGATTTCAGGGCCATTTGCCCGCTGAATGTCAGCGTGGCTACTCTCACACTCCGGATTGTTTTGGCATGAGCTTCGCTCAAGAGCATAGCTCATACCAAAACAATTACTCACATGGGTGGCCTGGAATCCCGAATATGTCATATAGGAGCAACAACCCTGAGATCTCACAGTTTGGTTCTAGTAATCATATGCAGGGATTTAGGTACAATGAGGAGAGCCATAACTATGCACCACAACAATTCCATTCAGCTCCTACTCATATACCACAGCACCAGGAGATGTGTCCAATGGAGTTAAATGGTCCTCCATTTGGTCAACCAACAACTCCAGCACCTGTTGTGCAATCTCATGTGCAAGTGCCCACACAAGATGAGTTTGATGACATAGACAAGCTCGCACTTTTGAGTCTCGAGTTCACTTGGAGTGCCGAGGATGATCCTATTAGGAAGGTTATACTAGAGGAAATGAAGAAGATTAAGAGTGGAAAGGAGCTAGTGGAAGAAGTAAGGAAGATTGAGAAGAACATCAACGCTGGCAGCACTATTTCTTCACAACTTGAGTTGAGTGTGGCTGAGATATCCATGGATACATGTGAGGTTCCAACACCTTCACATTTCATTGAGCAAGATAGCAAGTGCCTTGAGCAAGAGATACCTCAGATTGAAGAAGATGAACTAGAAGACAAGGAACAAGATGGTCAAGAGCTGCAATTCCCAAGTGATCAAGTTGAAGACTCATCATCTAGTACTCCTGAAGAAGTACAAGAAGCTGCTGTAGATGAAGATGAAGAACCTGAGATTCATTGGCCTATTATCATACATGAGCATGATGTGTCAGGTTTACCCAATCCTCTTGATGACATGAGTCCTTATGATTTATTTGCTTCTACCTTGCATTACATGATGCCATCACTTAAGATTGATTTGAAAAATCATTTACTTGGATATGATGATACATACACTGTTGGTGGCATTGCTCTCATTTGTGATGATCACAACTACTTTCCTCATGCTAGTCTTGAGCTTAATGATAAATGTCATCCTCGTGTGAGTATTGACCATGCTAATTTCTGCCATCCTAAACATGTGCTTTATAGTTATGCTTATATAATTGGATATTCCATTGATGACTTGGAGGGCATCGACCGTATCACCTGTAGTTGTTTGTGTGAGTCCTATTTCAGGCTTTTGCTACTCCACTGTTTACTACATGCTGACCAGGTTCGAGGTGACATTCCTTGGGATCCTGGTGGAGTCAGAGCATGGCGATGAGGAGAAGCAATGGGGCACACATATGGAAGAGTGAAGCTGGAGCATCCATGAGGAAGCAAGGGAGAAGAGCTGCAGCTGGTGAGGTGATCGAGCGAGTGCTACATGATCAAAGCCCGGTGAGATGTTTCATGACCCATTCTGAATATCATAAATACATGCTGAATTCAATTGCTAGTTGGGTTGCTTGAGCTAGTTATTACTTGTTGTCAAGCTGAAATTCACCTTTGGCATTGTGCTTGATGTGAATTTGTGAACTTGATTTCTGAATGCCTTGTAAACTAGTGATCTACACCATGCATGATTTGCTGAAATTTGTGGAAGTTATTAGTTTTGAGTGCTCAAATCCCTAGTACACTAGAAAACTTGATCATTTTGTGCTTTTACCTTGATACACCTAGATCACCATGTTTAGATGCCGAATTTGTGCTAAGTGTGTTCCCATTGAGAGCAATCACCTTACCACTATGGATTAGCATGCTATGTTCCCTGGATCGGTAGCATGTGAACCAGACATGGAGAAGTGACGATTCCTGTTTTTGTGCTTATGCGTTGTTCATTTAAGATAGGTAATAATGAATATATAAGTCTAGCTACCTACAGTAGCATGTCATGTTCCCGGGATCGGTGGCATGTGAAATCGGGTTAGCTTGGGCAGTAATTAATAATAATAATAATGTAATTGTCGAACCAGGTGTATATCATGTTCTCGGGATTGGTGGTATGTTCCTTGGGGGAGACAAACAAAAAAATTAATAAAAAATGGTTGAGCCAGGTGTATACCATGTTCTCGGGATCGGTGGTATGTTCCTTCAGTGAGACTAATAAAATAATATGTATGTTTCTTTCAAATTCAATAAGTGGTTCAACCACAAAGTCATATTTCTGCAAATAAGAGATTTAATTCCAGTTCTTTTTGTTCTCGGGATCATGCTCTCTTTAGGAACCATTTGGCGCAGTCATCATTTAAACTTGTTGATCCTCTTTTATCATTGTAAAAGTTTAAAATGGTCATGCTTACTAGTATCCTACCACTTTGAAGAACTCCTAACCATTAATTTTCACTAGCTAAGTCCAAAGCATGCACTGTTTAGAGATCTACTTCACTTAGTATTCTCTACTCAGCTCACTGTTCACATTCTTGTTCTTGTCATATGCCTTTGCTTGAGGACAAGCAAAAGTTTAAGTGTGGGGGAACTTGATAAGCACATTTCATATATACAATTTTGGCATAGAAATATATTATTTATTGAGATATGACCATCAATTCTTGCTGTGAAATATTGAATATTTGCATGAAAATCATATAAAGTATCATTTACTAGTCTTTGGTCTATTTTGCAGAAATGTGCGCAAAGGCACTATAAATCTTCAAGATCCGGACTAAGTGGCTAAGAGAACGAAGAAGAGGAGGAAGAATGGACCCGACCGTGAAGAAAAGAAGTAACCAGAGGGGCCAAGCTAAAGTTGGAGGGATCATCTTGTGAAGAAAGAATAGAAGTGGAAGGGCAAAAGAGCAAAAGTGGCATATCAGAGGAGGGGGATCAAATCCCTAGCGCAGCCTCGATCCCCTTTGGGCCTAGCATATCTCTCTCTCCCTCACCCATCCTTCTCCAACCCCGGCCGCCGCCACGGCCAGGCCGGCGTGGTGGTGCGCCTTCGCCTCCCATCCATCCACCAGCGCCACCATCTTCTTCTCCTTCCCCGAATCCACCATCATCCATCCACACCGCCGTCACCAGCGCCACCATCTCCAGCCACCAGCACCACAGCGCCTCCCCACACCTCACGCAACCCACCAGACAGATGGCCGCAGGCGTCTGATGCCCCGCGCGATTCTCCTCCCCAAATCTGAACTGCTGCTGCTCCTCCACCTTTCTTCTTCCCCCAAATTCTGCTGCTGCTCTCTTTCTAACCTCCCCACGCCTCTGTTCTTCTTGCCCAAACCTTGCTGCTGCTCTTCTTCTACTGCGCCCCCTTGCTGATCTCTCACGCTGCTGCTCATTCCCTCATCACGCTGTTGTTTTCTTCTTCTCCTGTCGCTGCTCTCTTCTTCCCTTGCCTCTAGTTGCTGCTCCTAATCTTTTCTGAACCCCAGCCTGCTGCTCTTTCTTCTCCCTACCTCGCTGCTGCTCTGCCCTCTTCTCTGAACCTCTCCTCTTCCTCCCAACGCCCCCTGCTGCTTCTTCCTCCTTGCCTGCTGCTGCTCCTCCCCCTGCCTCGCTTCTTCCTCCTTGCCTGCTGCTGCTGCCTTATCTCTCTCTCTCTCTCTCTCTAAATTTCTGTAGTATTGCGAGATGTTTAAGACTTTGTAAGGTTCAGATTCGTAGAGTACTTAAAACCTGTTGTTTGCTCAGTTTCGTACTTGTTTTCTAGAGTGTATGTGTTCAGTTTCAGACTTGTGTTTGTAGTGTTACATGGTGATCTGTGAGCTGAACCGTGGCATGTGTCACTCAGTTTGTATGCTTGATAATTAGCTATATATATCCCCTGTCCATTTCTTGCTTAAGAACCTTGTTACATTGTGTAGTATTTGTGTTAGCAGTACGTGTGATATATATATACACACACACACACGTTTGTGCGTGTCTTTGATGTGATGCACTTTATGTTTTGTCCTACATACTTGTTTCTTCCCTCTGTTAAATGTAAAATAGTTATATATATGTCCATGTCTTTTCAATTCCCTAGCCGTTGATGTATGCTTGTGTTAGCATTTTATTTTTCAACTAAAATAAAAACACAAAAAAATATAAATTGAGTAAAATCTGAATCTACCTTTGCTTATCTGCATTTTCTTTGGCGACAACCCTGTTTAGTTTAATTTTACTCTTTTTGCATTCATCATCTAAATTCTGTTAGTATAGTTGCTGTCGCCTAGTCCCTGAGGAGAACACGACACTCGTAGTTTGGGCGTAAAAACCCCGCTACACTTATAACTGATCAATGTTCATGGGGAGGCAACGGAATGCGTCGTGTTCATGGGGAGGCAACAGAATGCGTCGTGTTCACCGGGAGGCAACGAAACGCATGGGAGCCAACCGGTTTGGACAGAACAGGCGATGGAAACGAGGCCTGGCGTACCGCACAATGGAGGAAACGGACCTCCTATGTTCGGAACGGGGTTCTGTTGATCAGGAGGGGTGTGGCATACCGCAAAACGGAGGAAACGGACCTCCTACGGTCGAAACGAGGGTCATGTTGATTGAGAGGGGTGTGGCGTAGCGCAAAACGGACGAAACGGACCTCCTACGGTCGAAACGGGGGTCCTTTTGATCGGGAGGGGTGTGGCGTACCGCAAAACGGACGAAACAGACCTCCTACGGTCGAAATGGGGGTCCTGTTGATTTGGAGGTGTGTGGCGTACCACAAAATGGACGAAACGGACTTGTGTTGGAGCGCTACGGTCGAAACGGGGGTCCTGTTCATCGGGAGGGGTGTGACGTACCGCAAAACGGGACTCCACAGGATACCGTTCATCTCCACCGTCGACCTCCTCCAGCCTCCACGAGCTACCGTCGACCTCCTCCAGCCTCCACGGGCTCCTGTTCATCCAGCCTCCACCGCGCGCTACTCCATCGGCTACTGTTCAACCACCCCTCCATCGTCTACTGTTCATCCAGCCCTCCACCATCTACTGTTCATCCAGCCCTCCACACCACGGGGTCCTATTCAACCACCCCTCCACGGCCACCCCTCCATCATCTACTGTT